TCAAGTTAAATGTTTCGATATAACTCAACTGAAAATAATTAAATGACCATAGCCTTCTTGATGTTATCTTCTCCTCGTGCTTACTCAATTCCTCACTCTATTGCATTCCCCTTCTCAGGGATTTGTCCCCTCTTTATCTTTTTTGTGTGACTCTACGTCCTCTTTACTTTTATGCGCAAATCAGTTCGGTAGTCTCTCGAGTCGTCAAGCTGCAGCTAGGGAGACTCTCTAACATCTACTTTTGTTGAGTTGTTCGTAAAGCGCGAGAGGACATGTTGGGAAGGAAGAAAGGCTCCAAGGTAGGGAGAAGTGAAGAGGGGACATTATGTAAGGCAACGAGGTTCATGAATATGGAAAGGGAGATTGTAGTTGTAGGCATTGGTTTTGAAAAAATATAAGATCCTCCCTTTTTTTTTTTTTTTTTTTTGTGTAAATTGAAAACATTATAGTCGCAGAATATAAGCAATAAGTGCTTTCTTCTTGATTCTTTAAAAGTTTGAATAGCTCAATCAAATTCATTGCTTCAAACTTTTGAGCCAATCAAGTAGTCTTCAAAGGATAAAATAGAGTGAGTAGAGATAATTTTTTTGGACTCGGAAACAATAAATTTAAAGTACAAGGTACGCCAAAAGTGAGTGGGTCTCTTTGTGCGTGTGAGAGAGTGAATTCATCCCCTCCTTTGTTGTGGAGACGGCTCACACCTAATAGAAATTTATTTAGCCCCCAACTCTTGTTATACCCTAAATTGTTAATCTCAGCACTTTTATTAAATTTGCAATTGCCCTTAGTTGTACTTTAATAAAATAATTAAATTTTGTTCGAATAAAAATATAATAATTCGAACTCTTTATTGAATTACATGACTTGTACTTGTTCAAGTACCTAAATGTATAAGAGAATATCGTTTCTTTGAAAAGATCTACAGATTGTTTCACTAATATATGTTTCATTTACTTTTAAATTCTAGTATTTTTAAAATTAATTAGGGATTAGTCACGTTATAATATCATTCAATTTCAAAAAATCCCAGGTAAAAAACGGATGTGTTACGTCTACATTACAACTTACAGATTTATTTATCAAAAAAATAATATGACGAGATTTAATTGGGTCAAAATTTCATTAACCAAATCAAAAAGGCAAAAACTCTCTCGATTTTTTCATCAATTTTTTTTTTTTGACGTTTTATCAATATGTAAAAGATTATGTAAATGGTGTTGAATAATAAGCATTTTTCTTTAAAAAAAATTAAATTAAATTGGTCCTGAAACAATTTCTCAATTATTTTATATTACCAAAAATGAATGATTTTTCCCCAAAATTAACAAAAGATTACAGTTTTAAGAGGGGCAGACAGAGGCCACGATATAGTGTTCGCGTCAAACCCGCAAGCGTACGAGATCGTTGTATAAATAATAAAATATGTGAGTTAAGAGTGTCGTTCCCACGAGGAATAAGGTCTA